CATCGATGGTAAGATAGGAATATCGCCCATCATAGATCAGGTACTTGCGAAGCGTTCAAGCGATCGTCGACCTGCGTGTACTCTTGAAAGCAACCAGAATCTCTCACCAAGAAAACTTACAAGGACCTCTTGATTAATGATGTCTTACCTGAGATTCCCTCCAAGGTCCCCAACGACAAGGCAACTATCATAATGCAGCACAATAACGCATCACCTCATCGCATCAAGCATGATGAAGAAGGTTTGAACGCCTGTTTATCGGAAGTGTGCAAAAACATGTTTGGAAGTCAGCACCCAAGCAGCCCGGACTTGAGCGTTCTTGATCTGGGTAACTTTAGCCCCTTGCAATCGAGACTGTTCAATATGCCTGCTTCAACTCTTGAAGATTTGATTAAGAACGTGAAGACCGCTTTCGAGAACTTACCTTCCACGACGATTGAAAGCGTGTTCTCAAGCCTTCAAGGTGTCCTTGCCAGCATTGTTGATTGGTATGGTGACAACACCTTCAAGATGAAGCACATGAAGAAGAAAAAAGCGTCGTACGAGTGCTGCTCCAACTGAGTCACGCATACCCGCGAATGGTGCCGTGTGTGACTAGCCATGGTCTCGTTGATGGAATTTCTACCAATAATATTCATGCCATGCATTATTTTAGCCAATGACAGTAGAAGTGACAGCTTAACTGGAGTTTTCCAATTTTGATAGTGGACACTTTAAGTGGATCGGAGTAACATGATGACTTCATCTATTACATTCCAACAGGGTAATTGTTCTTTGGGTATATTTTCAAAATTGTTACGAATTTTGACATGTTCGAGGAAACATTTTGGAATGTCCACACTGTCAATTTCAATTTAAGGAGCCAAAAAAGTCTGGGTCCCAAGGTGTGGCACTTGGGGAAATGGCAGGTGTTTTTAGCCTCCATCTGGCTAGGGTGGTGCCTCTCTACGGAGACTACCGTAGATAGGCCGAGGATGGAAAGGGACTACGGCAGGGCGCGGGTTGTTCAGTCCAGACTGCCTGCACCCATGGAACGGTACCTTGTATGCCAGGTATGAAATTGTCAATTGCAATGGTACGATTCTTATGATGTTAAGAAAATTGAATTGTTTGCTGTCATTTCTATGATGGACGCCAACGGAATTCGAGGCTTTCAGGTACACAAGCCTGTAGTCCATTGAATGGTTATGTGAGACCAATATCATGTATTTTCCACCAGTCATGAAAAACGACAATATCTTCTTCGTCGACTTCAATTGCGGTGCTGTCGATGAAATTTGCACTTTTGGTTAGGTTTGACTATTGTAGACACCATCTTCTTTTGGTTGCGCTCGGGCGGAGTTCGAACGACTTGATCGTTGTCCTTTGACCGTGTTATAACTTTGACCGAATAACAAATTCCCGGATAATAGTATGATCTACCGGTTAAAAGTCAATACAAACCTTGAGTTTAAAACACGGTGACCCTTGTGGCCAACTCCTACTTCCAATGCTCCGATATATCGAGTTATATGAGGGTGTACATGATTTGTATTGTGGCCAACTCCTACTTCCAATGTTCCGAAATTGCGAGTTATATGAGGGTGCACATGATTTGTAATGTAATTGTATTCAGGAGCAAAATTTCAAGCACGGTATAACCTGCCTCGCTTCGAAATACAATGTGATTGGATCTATAGAACAAGCGCAACCTGAGCTCTCGGTGGACACACCGAAATAGCAGGAAATCTCAAACGACGACGCCATTACTGAGAACGACAGAATGCAACAACCACCGAAGATTATGACGTGTTACAGGTAATTTTGTCCAATAATTATCAATCTCCAAAATACGACATTGTGATTGGCAAATATATATTTTCGCGCTCGCGCGAAGAATCAAAATGGTGAGAGCATCCACATAGAAAAATGAGACGCTCATCGTATCCAATTTCATTGAAGCTCGAGGCGTTAGGTCTCCTACCAACAGCGTCTTGTGCTCCTGGCCTTCGAACGAGACAATAAACGAAACAAGGTAGAGCTGGGAGGTAGTTTTGAAGAGTTCCCAGACCCGCCAGGTCTCATTGACATTTTAAACTAAATTCTTGACAATAAACTGGCACTAACAACTACTCACATGATCACATGGATCAAGTTGAACCAGAGAGATTGGCTCCTGGCCTACCTCGCAACAAAAAAGCACGACCGCATACAGCTCGCTGCTCCGGCTGCTCCAGCACTTTTGCCAGCGCCATGGATTCTCACGCTAACGCCAAACAAAAATCAAGCTCAAGCAAGGCGTCCTCAACGAGACTCACCAGCAATTCCCTGCCAACTTTCACCGCGAAAACGCCTCCTATGACAAGAACTGTGTGCACAACGTTGGCGAAACCGGGATGTACTATGACCTTCCTCAGACGTACATTTGGACAGTCAAGGGTGGCAGTTCGAAGATATCCTGCGGCGAAAAGCACTCCATGCGAATGACAGCTGTCCTCACGGTCACAGCTAACGGCGGCAAGTTTCCTCTCATGATCATTATGAATGGCAAGCCCTGCGGTTGCATTGAGAAGAATGAATTCCCATCCTTCCCAGCTGGTCACTTCTACACTGTTCAGGACAATGCCTGGATGGACAGTCGAGTCTGGGCACAGTACCTTCGCGACGTCTTGTGCGAGCGCATCGAGGGCCCGTCTGTCCTTCTTGTGGACAATTTCGACGCTCATGTGTCCGATGAGTCATATAAGATCATGTATGAAGAATTGGGTACGCACCCGTGCCCTCTGCCCTCGAACTCAGTGTCCGTCTGCCAGCCCCTTGACGTCAGCGTGATGGCTCCATTCAAGAGGAACCTTCGAAACCTGTGGCTTTATGAGGAACAAGCGGTTGGAGACGATAAGGATCCCTACTCTCATTTGGCCAAATAATCGAATGGCCATAGTGAAATGTGCGATTGCTGCCTGGAACTTAGTCACTGAAGATGTCATTCGCCAAAGCTTTGCAAAGGCCATCCCACAATAATTTGTTGTAATTCGATGTACTTTTTGCAAATGTACATTCTTGAACCAAGATAAATATGAAGTTTTTACCAAAAAAAAATGTTTGCTCAAGACACACAACGTGTCTTTCCACTGCGCTATCGCGTCGAACGCTTACGCTTACACCGTGACCATTGTATCAATCAAAGAAAAGTTTGAAACCTCCTTTATCTTATAATGACCTCTACGTTACACTTGTCTTTTTAGTGGCAGCTCAATATTTGAATCTACGAGGTTTCATAATTCTATTACCTCATGAAACAATTGAAATTTCTATGGTCAGCTCTCATTGGCTATAATTTTGATTGAACTTCGAAGTACATGCTCGAATTACATTTGTGGAATCATCATCAGCTCGACGTCAAGGTGGGCGATGCATTCTGTCGTTCCCAGTACCCGCGTTCAAAACATAGCATACGAATACTCATATAGAACAAAATTATACACGACGAAAATTATTGAATGACAATCACAGGAAGTAACGTCACTGACGACATGCGCGAAGTCGTGTTTCACTGCAACGCCACCTACATGACCAGGCTGACAAAGGGTCTTGTCGAGGACCTGGCGATCAAGAAATATTTCAAGTTTCGACTTCCCTCCCCCTCCTAAATCGAATGGCAGTGTCAGTATTACTAAGAGACCTCATTTAATTGGCCCTGAGACATGGATTAGGCGTCCCTTGATTGGTCATGTGTATCTTTACACCAGTGTTGAGTATTCAAACTGGAAGCTTTTGTATTTTGTTTCAGGAGGCATACCTCAATCGTCTCATTCGCGCACTTATTTTAGAACAGAGGAAATACCAACTAAGGTTTGTAGACTATCATTCCTTTTATGATATCAATTCTTTTCCAAATTTGAACCTGAGGCGTACCTCGCATTGATATCTGACGATATAACGTCTCTTTTCACTGCAGTTTGGGAATGTGAAGTCAAAGTAAGTTCAAGAATATTTAGTGAAATGTTGAGAGACAATAGATGAAGTACACCATGGTACGGTAGGCGTGGAGGGCGGTGGGCTGGTGTGGCGTGGGGCTGCTATTGTACTTGTCGATGACGCCGCAACTTGTGGACATTCCCCCATGGCCCATGGAGACAAGTATTGTCACACTCTTGCATAACTCGTCTTGACGGCAATTAAGCCCACAAAGTGGGTGGCACTCGGCGGCGCCACCCACAGTCGTTCGCAAGAATGACGGCGACCGTTATGCCCTCCTTACGGCCACTACCGACTTATCTATGTACGTACAAGCAGCTTGTGTCGAACACCTCCATCGAATTGGCAACGATACATGTTCGAGAGAGGAAGTCATGTTGTTATGACCGCAATACACAACTTCATATATTGTGCTTTTCAGATAAAATTTCCATTTTGAAATGTCTTTGACAAATCAAAAAATCCGGATAA